CCTGGTGATAGGGCCACTGGAGGATCTTCAATCATAGTTAAGAATGATGTTATCCACAGTCCGATTATACTCAATACAAATCTCCAAGCTGTTGCAGTGCCACTAACTTTGAACGTTGTTTTTACTCTGTGCTCACTGTATATTCCGCCTTCTTCAGCTCCCAGGCTGTCAGATCTTCAAGCTCTCTATGATGAACTACCTAAACCCTGTATAATAATGGGTGAAGTAAATTGCCACAACCCCCTCTGGGGTGGTACACACACTAACACTAAAGGTAAAATACTTGAGGATTTCATCTCTAATAATGATCTATGCATTTTCAATGATGAATCTAGCACTTATCTGCATCCTGCAACTGGGACCTATTCTTCTCTCGATTTGTCACTAACTGATTCTGACCTTCTCAATGAATTTGAATGGTCGGTACACAATGACCTTTGTGGAAGTGACCACTTCCCAACTATGATTAAAACAATAATTCCATCTGTTCTTCCACCTTCAACCAGATGGAATTTTGAAAAGGCAAATTGGCCTTTATTTCAAACTCTATGCATAAACAAAATAACTCCTGATTGTTTCAGTAATGTTGCTGATCCTATTCAGTTGTTTTCTGACGTTGTAAATGAAATAGCCAATGAATGTATTCAAAAGTCCTCTACAAATCCGCATGTTCGTAAACCATGGTTCAACACTGATTGTAAACAAGCTAGGAAAGCTAGAAAAAAGGCAGAAAAATATTTCCGCCGCCACCCAACTGTCCATAATTTAAATAACTTTAAAATGTTAAATGCTAAAGCTCGTCGCACCTTTAAGCAAAATAAACGCCACTCTTGGCGGACCTTTGTTTCCAAATTAAACTCCAGAACACCAATGTCTAAAGTGTGGAATATGGTGCAAAGGATAAAGGGTAAAGGATCAACACCTAATGTTCATCATCTCAAGGTGGGTCACACACTATTGACCAATAAATGCGATATAGCGAACAAATTAGGAGAAATTTTAAACATTCGTCCTCATCAAATTATACCCCTAAATTTCAAAAGTTTAAAGAACAAGAAGAAAGAAAGAAAATTAATTTTAAATCCAATAATGGTGAGGATTATAATGAAGTATTTTCCATTCATGAGCTAAATACTGCCTTAGGGCAAGCTCATGATACTGCTACAGGTGCTGATAATATCCACTATCAGTTACTGAAACATTTACCTGACTCGTGTTTAGAAACCCTATTGAATCTATTTGATACTATCTGGACAACGGGAAATTTCCCCTCATCGTGGCGGAATGCTGTTATAATACCAATACCAAAACCTGGCCGGGATCACACTGATCCTTCAAATTATAGGCCAATATCGCTTACTAGCTGTGTTTGTAAGACAATGGAGAGAATGGTCACTAATAGATTAACATGGTACTTAGAAACAAATAATCTCATAACAAATATTCAATGTGGTTTCAGGAAAAATAGAAGTACTAATGACCATTTAGTTAGATTAGAATCATTCGTAAAATATGCCATCATCAATAAACAACACACCGTATCTATATTTTTCGATTTAGATAAAAGGATCTTCATGAGATGGGGTTGAGAGGCCGTTTGCCTTCTTTTATATCTCAGTTTTTGACAGATAGACATTTCCAGGTACGTGTGGGATCCACTTTGTCTGATTTTTACGATCAAGATCAAGGTGTCCCCCAAGGTAGCATCTTATCAGTAACGTTGTTTAGTATAAAGATTAATAGTTTAGCTAAGGTTTTGAATAACTCCATTGATGGTTCATTATTTGTTGACGATTTTAATATATCATGTCGAGGTAAAAATATGAACACGATTGAAAGACAGTTGCAACTTTGTCTAAATAAAATTAATAATTGGGCAGAGCAGAACGGCTTTAAATTTTCTAAATCTAAAACTAATTGTATTCATTTCTGTCGAAAATATCAACCACATAAGGACCCAGAATTACATCTAGCTGGATCTCCAATAAAAGTCGTAAAAGAAGCTAAATTTTTAGGAATAATTTTTGATCATCACCTTACTTTCTTACCGCATATTAAGTATTTGAAAGCTAAATGTCTGAAGGCACTAGATTTATTAAAAGTCGTTTCTAATTCCAAGTGGGGAGGAGATCGGCCGACCCTCCTTCACTTATATAGATCCCTTGTTCGTTCTAAACTTGACTATGGCTCCATCATTTATGGTGGAGCCTGTAAAAGCAATCTCAAACTTTTAGATTCCATCCACCATCAAGGTCTACGACTCTGTCTTGGTTCTTTTAGAACATCTCCTATTGACAGTTTATACATTGAAGCTGATGAACCTTCTCTTAAACAACGCCGTATAAAACTATCGTTGCAATACATAACTAAATTATATTCAAACACGTCCAATCCAGCTTACAACTGCGTTTTTAATCCTCTTTATGAGGATCTTTTCATTAAAAAGTCCTCCCTTATTCCACCACTAGGAATCAGAATTAAACCTTTCATTTCTGCTGCAGGACTTGAGCTCCAGAATATATCTCCTTTCCATCTTCTTTCTTCTCCTCCTTGGCAATTGGTAAAGCCACAGGTGGATCTTACCTTATCTAAACTAAAGAAATCTGACACCAACCAACTACAATATCAACAGGAATATAATCAGTTACGTAGCGAATATAACACTTACAAATCAATATTTACAGATGGATCCAAGGATGGAGGTGCTGTTGCCAGCGCCACCATCATTGGATCCAGAACTATATCAATTAGATTACCTGATGACTCTTCAATTTTTACTGCTGAATCAAAGGCCATTTTAACTGCTTTAGAATATATAAATAAACATTCTAAACATAAGGAATTCGTTATTTTTTCGGACTCCTTATCATGTCTTCAGGCAATAAACAATACTTCGTGTCAACATCCAATTTTACTTAACATCATTGAGTTACATAATAATCTTGCTACTGGCCAATACGACATCGTTTTTTGTTGGTTACCCAGCCATGTCGGAATTGTTGGTAATACAATGGCTGATGCTGCTGCAAAAGCAGCACTCAACAAATCTGTGACACCACTTCTTCTACCCTACAGTGATTATAAACCTGTTATTAGATGTTATATCAGAGAACTAATGCAGAAGAAGTGGGACACCCAAGTGGGTATAAATAAATTACATGCAATAAAAGCAAATATCGGTTACACCTACTTGGGTTGTCAGTCCAGATTTGAAGGGGTCATTTAAAGACGTTGTCGTATTGGCCATTCAAGGTACACTCATGAATATATTTTAAAAGGTGAAGATCCTCCATTTTGCATCCCTTGTGATGAAAGAATCACAGTCAAGCATGTCCTGCTTGACTCTGTTGATTTTTCCATCACAAGGGATAAGTATTTCACAGTTTCATCGCTAAAGGATCTTTTTAATCACGTGAGTAGTCATTTAATTATTGGGTTTTTAAAAGAAATAGAATTATTACATAAATTTTGATGCAATGTTCTGTAAATAATACATATTTTAGTATTGGTAGCGGAAAAATTGTTAACTGAGATTGTTTGTGGCTTTACCCTTGATGGGGGTTGAAGTAGTGTAAAATGATTGTCCCCCTGAGAGGGTATGTCAGACCACGTCATTCAAAGTAATGTTTTTTCACCACAATTTTAATCGTAGAATATATGTTCATTTATTCTGGCTACATTTGTCATTAATCGCCAACAGCGGAAGGGATGATGTAAATCCGGCTGGGGTCCATGCAGGTAGCAAAAGTACTGTAAGTCCCCATGGACCCTAACATGGTGATCTACCTTCAGCTGCTGGGGATCTATAGCCCTTTTTTATATTGTACCGTCATTTATAGTGCTATCTTTTTTTATAGTTGTATGCTAGTTTTAAATAATAAACTGTGATATTCTAGTAATTTTACTGTCCATCGATGACAGGTTTTAATTTAGTTAAAAATGTATGTATTCAAATTGTCACATTTTTCGTCACGATATGGCTGGAATATTGCCGATGTGACGTAAAGCATTAACTCACTCACTCACTCACTTTGTGAATCGAACCAATTTATTCTATCTTGAATATGAGTGATTTTTCATATATTAACCAACATGTATGGTATTCACGTTTCCATTGGTAGTTAATACATATCATGAAAGTGCTAAAGTGCCCTATTTTTGCCACTTATCTCTAACAAAATCATTTTTGCTTATTGAGTAGAATATGTTTGTCTGCATTAAAGGTTCAAATAGAGAACAAATTACTGTCAACAACGTCTGATATAAACTTATATCAAGTTTATACAAAGAAAAAGCAGTATTCTAGTCTGATTAGGACATATTAATTCACAGGACAGAATACCAGAACAACATTTATCACAATGGCAAGTTACTTCAAAGAAACAGACGAATGGCCGATTTAAACTTATATATGAGTTGTTGGCCATGTCTATCATACATTGTCTATTCTTATTACTATTAACCAGCAAAATAATGTAAACAGTATTAGTGAGGTCCATTACAGGGGCAAGTGTATGCATTTAACAGTGCTAATGTCTCTTTAAAACAAAGGTTTATATTATACATGGAAGAAAGTGTTGGTTGCAACATATTCTAAATAGACAAGTATATTCACAGTGAAGACATACTGTCTGCTATAAACGAACGTATATTCCCACGACACAGCAATAGTAATGAATATTCATTTCAAATACAGGTGTATCCACAGAACCACTACGGTATTGACAATGTCTAATATTAACGCATCGAAATTGTATTCGTAAAGAAAACATAACAACATCCATTAGAGACAAAGTGTCATTATAGTGATATCTGCCTACGTGCACATTCAAAGTATATATATGCGTATTATGCGTAGAAAAGTACAAGTGTATGTGTGTGTGTATATAAATATATATATCGTAGTGGTAATGTCCACATAAAACAAAGACGTGTTGATGAATACTTTGACATTGGTAACACAGTCTTAATTCATTGCAATTGAATTCATAAGTACTGTATTTGTATTCCTTAGAAGAAACGTCTATTCAGAGAAAACAGCATTAACAATGTCCCACGTAAATGCTTGTGGATTTATAGACAGGCATAAGCTCTGCCATCAACGAATGTTAATTCACATCATCAGCAACATCGACTACAACGGCAAGAACAGTACTCAGGACTGATTTAGATCGGGCATTGTGCACGTCTAACATGAACACATAAATAAACAGTATATGCTTGTCGTAAGAGGCGACAAACGAGATCGGGAATATTGCTGAGTGCGGCGTTAAACAACAATCAAACCAAACCAAACCACAAGACTCAGTGTAAGCCAAATCCTCCATTACAAAGTGAGAACCACTGACCGAATGACCGAATAAATCGTACTGCTAGGGACATATATACATTTCCTCGCTGTTGATTAGCTGATTTCGAATCATAGAGGAACATGCATTTTAGGTGCTCAGATCAGGCTTCGCAATCTCTGGAAAATTGGGTCATAATTGTAGGATCCGCCTCTATTCTGTAGTCCGATGAGGCAACAGTCATAAGAGTTTGGGAGCTCAGGTCACACCTCCCGTCAGAGGTTCGCCGGTCTGCAGAACGGCAGACAAAGTTGGTTCTGGCTGTACAGTGGTCCGTGCACTGTTGTTCTGTCACGCCGGTGTAGGTAGCCATGTTGTTCCCGCCTATATAGTAGCCACGGATTTTAGTGTAATGGGGACCGTACGTCGTGCAAGCTGCAAACAAATCAGAGTTGAATTGTATATTCCTGTCGCATATTGCATATACGGAGTTGAAAACTACTTCTTTTGGTTTGAATTATATTCAAAAGGACTTTTGACTAGAGGAGCGTATACAAGCACTTGCAGAAATAGAGGTTGCCCCTTCACTGTCGTTTCCAGAATGCCCCAGCAAAAATAACATTCCATAGTTGCTTTATTCCGCTACATAAATATGAAAACAAAATGCAATTCCACCCAATGCCATCCAGTCTAAATATATCATTTCTTGTTTGTGAAAACACATGTCTAATACAAGACATTAAAAAACGTCTTTAGGGTATTACATATATTAGTATATACATATATATACTTCCTGTTTACTGACATACCTTACTGTGTGCGAAAACAATTGCCAAATGCACTACATCTTTCAAAGAGAAAGCCCGATGCTTTAAGTTACTTAATAATCAAGTTGGCACTTCAATCTTAGACACCTTACAGAAACATGGGTATCAGCTCTTACAGAATTATCAGGCCAACACAAGGAATTGGTTCAGTACACAAAGAAGCACATCTACCTTACACATGACAACTTCCACTTCAATTTCCACTAACCTACGAATGATATGTACAAACTATGTAGTTAAGGTTTAGTTAAATAAAGTTGACTTGCAGATGTCTGTTTAGTAGATAATGTCTGTTCTTATCTGACATAAAATTGCAGAAACGTTTGGTGAGCCACTAGTATTGACATCATTTGTTCCCCAGTATCCAGGAAAATAAGTATATTTTTAAAACTAACAGGAAAACCGCGTTATCAGAACACCCCACCATAGGGCACCTTAGAAATCTGTTTGTTCATATAGTAGTGACTCTATATGAGAAAGGGAGGATAAAACAAGGAAATACTAAAACAATTTCAGTACATCAGTTCAGTATATACAAAATAAGCAAAATGCACAAGTTCACGATTTCAGCTGAACGTCTGCAAAGGTTCATAATATAATAGAAGGCAATTTCCGAGATATGCTCCGGATACGAATGCTACACGTTTTTTAGTCTAAGTCTAGTTTATTGCCAAGGAAACAAACAAACATATTTTTTTTCCTAAAGAGCTGTCTGGAAATGAATAATGCCTCAAAAAGAAAGAAAGTGCATGTCTTATGGGCATTGAGAAAACACATTATTTATCTAAAAAATTCTTTGATCATGTCTTATTTTTAGAAAAAAAATGTCTTTTCTAAATCTCACTTTGATCGGTCGTTGTGAACTAAAATTCCTTTTTGAAACAACAATGCGGCAAAAAAACATAAAGCAGCCATCTTTTCAAGGGACTGAGTAAAAATAGAAAGAAAAAAAATGTATGCATACTTGAAACACAAGATTTTTGTTGTGGTGAGAAGGATAGCCCTGGATCACACATGCACTCGGAGTGGACACAGACAGACCTTGTCACGGAACAGTCTGTATTTTGCTGACATGTAGATCCAATAAATCCTGTAGCTGCAAAAACAACAGCAAAAAAACCATCCCATTTCAGTAGGTGATCATCAGATGCATTTCAAAATGAGCATCAATATCTGAGGCAATATGCATGTAAGATTTAATAAAGTGTTAAAATCAATAATCATTAGTGAGTGAGTGAGTGAGTGAGTGAGTGAGTTGGGTTTAACGCCGCTTTTAACAGTATTCAAGTTATATCACGGCGTGTCAGCTTGATGTGGGAGGAAAGCCCGAAGTGATGCAGGTCTCAGACGTTTACCACTTCGGTGAAACCCACGAGCACGGGTATGGTGCTGACAAACCTAGAAACATAATCGGGGCGAACCGGGATTCGAACCATAATCATTAAGTTCCAGAAGGCTTAATAAAACCAAAGGTTAATTGATAATTAATTGATAGAGGTTTTATTTCATCACTCACTGGCATCTTGAACCCATGCTGTAGTAGTGAGTGTGTGAGTTGGGTTTAACGCCGCTTTTAACAGTATTCCAGTTATATCACGGCGTGTCAGCTTAATGTGGGAGGAAAGCCCGAAGTGATGCAGGTCTCAGACGTTTACCACTTCGGTGAAACCCAAGAGCACGGGTATGGTGCTGGCAAACCTAGAAACATAATCGGGGCGAACCGGGATTCGAACCTACAATCATATGTTTCTGGCGTGCCCAAGGGACGCGAATCGCGGCGCCTAAGACGACTGGGCCACCCTTGCCCCCTCATGCTGTAATAATTAGCGGCTGTATATGTATGTATATATGTATGTGTATACAAGTCACTTCAAAAATGAAAGGGCGACATTTCATTGACTGGACTGGATTGGAAGAAAGGTTTTAAGATTGACGCACTCGGCAGTACTAGGCAGTACCACACATTACCTGTCACTGATACAGAACAAGGAAGATGTTTGCTTTACAAAGTCCCCACCTTTTCACGAATGTCCTAAAAGATTCCCACCAGGAACATGAATCATGATTCCGGGGTAGAATAGGTCTTCAGCAACCCATGCTTGCCTTAAAAGGGGACTATGCTTGTCGTAAAAGGCGACTAACGGGATCGGGTGGTCAGGCTCGCTGACTTGGTTGATGCATCTCATCGATCCCAATTGCGTGGATCGATGATCATGATATTAATCACTGGATTGTCTGGTCAAGACTCGATTATTTTACAGACCGCCGTCATATAGCTGGAATATTGCTGAGTGCGGCGTTAAACAACAAACCAACCAACCAACCAACATGAATCATGAACTATTTTGACCGTACCAAATCAGATAGCTGCTGATCTCACAACTATCTATCTACATTCTGTGATCTCAAATACTGTCGTTTTGGTTCTTTGCTAGTAGATATCCTCACAAGACATCAGCACTTCTTGTTAAATGACATCGCTTCCACACATAGGAAAACACATGTCAAATGCAGTAAAAATTGTACTCTGCCTCTAGGCACTTCCGCTTAAATGGCCACTCGTTCTGCAGTTGGCATAACACATGCCCAGTGCAGTACAAGTTGGAAAAGCAAGTCCTATGCCTCGACGACGTTCAATGTCATCCAGTCACTTAGGTGGTGTTACAAATATGAAATTCTGAATTGCGCATGCTGTATTAGAATTTCTGTATTAAGTTTATAAACGTAATACAGCGTTTCTTAAACGTAGAGAGAGCAGGATGAGGTGGTTTGTTGTCAAATATATTGGCCAGGAGAAGCTGTAGTGGAACTTCAACCCAAAGCGATTTCCACTCACGATTTCGCGTCTGCAGCAATGTCCCCTGCTTCCTTATTCTATACTATAACCCACGTTATATTTACAGTGTTCCCTCCTAAACTCTTCTGTTTCAAAAACCTCAAATGACTTAAATAGCGTCATTGATACTCGTGAACTCACGTCCTTTGAACATATTCTGTTATCCATAATATTACATGCTTGACAACTGACTTTGTATTCAAAGAGCTGAGTTCATTGTGTGCCCAATTGTGTTTGTTTGTATTGTTGGATTGAAAAACAACATGTTCCTCCCTCATCACTCTTTTCTTTTCTATGGAATACTGTAGGTGACATTCTCGCAATCTCCCATTCTCTCTATCTCGACCTTTGGAAACGAGCTAAATATGCCAAAAATACGAGAATGCGAGATCGCTGGAACACGAGATATGGCCAAAAGATTTCGCGATCTCGCATTCTCGTGTTTATTATACAAAGCACTTTTTTTCAAAAGTCGACAACGCGAGAATGCAATATTTGGACATGATGCAAAATCTCGCAATCTCGACTTGACAAATTAGACCACAAAAACACAAGATTGCGAGAATGCGACATTTCATTTTCTAGCGATCTCGCGTTCTCGCGTTTTAGACGCTGTCCGTGCGCATGTGTAATATCATAAGGTCAAGGCGCATGCGCACGTTAGTTGCCCTGTGGTCATGCTTCTTTCATGCTCTTCATTATCCAACTAGCATTTAGCAAAATTATGACTTGAGCTTGAAAATGCTATTAATTTACATATGTGGAGTAGAGTCCTCTCCTTTTGGTACAGTTTCCTGTGTGCTTGAAATTGAAACCCTCAACATGCTCAATATAATTTAACAAAACGACTTGTGTGCCTGAATGTCCAGTGATAGTGAAAACATTACAGTCCCCGGAAGCTAGAAACAAAATATCACTGTCAGTGAGAGAGTAAATATTGCTTAAAGCCACATCAGCAGTATTGCAGCTATTCGCGGCTCCACAGTCAGTTACAGAAATAATCACAGGCAAGTGAGTTTCTCCATAAGTCAATATTATACACGGCTAACATATTCATTAAAACAAAATTCTCAAACACCAATTTGAAGCATTCGGCTAAAATGAGATTGTCCGATGTTTTCACACGACACCATATTCGCTACTTTAGGCCATACTAAATATATTTATAGATTTTCATCAAAACATGCCTCCTTACATTATTCAATTGCATTAACGTTCATAGAAATAGAAATATCGCTAATATGTATGTTCCTACTCCGTACACGTAGCCCTAGTGAACACGCATGATGCGCATCGCACCCTTCGACAGCAATTGTACACAGATGCCTTAAATAGTTCGATAAGAAAACAATAGAATGTTAAAAATAAAATGCGCCCGTCGCCCATGTTTATTTTTTAAAATTCAATCAAAGTCTAACAATTAATATATTACGGTCTTGACATCCACATGACAGGCATGCTCATACTGGAAAAGTACCCCCAATATCCAGCCTGGGGGACCGGCATGGCTCTGAATATGTGGGTGAGTTTGGCTTAACACCGCTTTGAACAGTATTTGTATCGCAGTTAAACCCCGGCTTGTAAGCCTGAAATGGGATGATACCCACCATCATAGGTTTCTGGCACGCCCAAGGGACGCAACGAGATCACTGTACAGGTAATTGGCAGAAAAACGCGAGATCGCCACATGGTCGCAATCTCGCGTTTTTTAAGATAGTTACATATAGAAGAAAGACAAGTTCTATGGATGAACAACTTCTTTATTACACTTGCTTGATAAAGGTGTTAGGTGTTAGGATCTACACCCGAACGTCGCACTAATTGTAATAAAGAAGTTGTTCATCCATAAAACTTGTCTTTCTTCATCACCCAAACTTCTAAATGCCACTGAAAGAAGTTATAGTAACATATAACTGTTTAGGCAATAGACCGATCCAGTCTGTCAATCAAAATTGGCGCAGGCGTCAGTTTGATCCAATCAAAAGGCCGGGCGCGCTTTGCGGATGTGTCAGATTCACTTCCGGGAAGCCACGTGGCTACGTTTTTTACTATTGTCATTCGCGATATCCATTACGTATCGCTGGGATTAGATGTATACCTTTACTCAAACCCACAGAAAAGTGAAAGGGAGATAAGTGTTTGAGGCTGATCAACGTTTGCGGTAGCCCTCACGATCAGTTAAATGTCGCCACCATCTTCTACGGGACCCTCGTCTGCTTGAAGGTGAGAATTGGCAGGACTTTTCGCACTTTTACACATATGCATACTCAATACGGGTAAATGACAACACGTAGAAAGTTATGATTTTACGTATGTTATAAAATAAGATAATGCTTGTAACTGCAAAATCTTTTTTGGATTATGTATTTTGGCAACATCGGGCATTGAGTTAGCAGGTCATATTGCTTATATGTGAGACGGCCGTGACACACTAAAAACAAATATGACAGTGATCTGGTTCCGGTTAGTGCAGAACGAAAGCTGCTATTATTTACATTGAAGTACAATCTAGTGGGAATTGTATTCCTCTCTCTTAGATATGATTTATTTTGTAACAGATTTTTAGATATGATTTATAATTAGCTTCAAAATCACAAGGGGCGATCGGGTAGCCTAGTGGTTAAAGCGTTCGTTCGTCACGCCGAAGACCCGGGTTCGATTCCCGACATGGGTACAATGTGTGAAGCCCATTTCTGGTGTCCCCCGCCGTGATATTGCTGGAATATTGCTAAAAGCGGCGTAAAACCAAACTCACTCACTCACTCACTCACTCAAAATCACAAAAAAACACAATAAGCCTATCTATTAATATTGCAAAATACCAGAGCATGATATTGAAAATTACTCTAGCAGTAATAAATCTTTCGACATAGAATTATAATCATTGTCAATGGTTTTCGTTCCACAAAATCTTTCAATTTAATTCATATAAGTTCCCATTAAATCATGCTTTGACTATTTCAGCATTTCTATGAAGAGACGGGACCCATGCAGTAATGAATTACTTGATCCCATTATTGTGAAATGGAATCATCCCTTCAAGGTTAGAAAGAAGAGGAAAATTTCGTGAGAATAAAGTGAATTACTAAAATATTTTGACAGATTGAAATGAAAACAATCTCAGTTGATTTAAGAAAATTATAAGTTTAGAATTGTTTGCAACATAAGTTATTCACTGGTAGTGAGCTTAATGATATACATTTTAGTGAAACAATATAACTGTTAAAAACGATTATAAGTGTCGAGTCATTTTAATTAAT